CTATTAAAATTATATCTATACCAGCAGCACGGTAATGATTAAAATCGCACTATTTGGATGTAGACTTCCTGGCTGGAAATCATGACTATAACACTAAATCAGCTCTTTCTTTGGCAATTTATTTGACATCTTTTGACCTTAATTTTCTCAAGCTGTAGAATGAGAATAATAGCAAACATCTTGTTGTTTTAAGTTCAATGAAACAATACCTATGATGTACTTAGAATACAGACTGATAAATAGTTTGCATTCAATAAATGCTATATTTGTTCTCATTGTGGTTGTAGCTAATTGTCAATATCCTTGAACAAGCCTCTCTGCCCTTTAGATTCAGTTATCTAAGATCTTCCAAAGACAGTTCTGAACACAGTTTCTTCACAGCTAGAAATTCTGTGATCCGAAAGACCCCCATTTCTGTATCTTTTGTCCCTGGAGACCCCTGGTTTAAAGTTATATGTATCTCCTTATCTTTGCAATCAATACCCATTACATGTAGCTCACGATCACAGCTTTTCCTGGAGAAAGATGCTAATGGATTCTGTCCCACCCACGAGACACTTGCTTCCGAATATTATGGCTCTTGAGTTTCCTAAAAGCCTGACCTTCAGTTAGAAAGTGATCAGGAAGCTTCCGATATGCCCAGGAATCTAATCAATATTCCCCACTCCTTGGTGATGATTCGCAGAGGGCATCACTTGTCATCAACAGTCCAGCACATGGTGAGGTAATAACACTGGTGGCCTTGGTCTCCTGACATTTACTGCCCATTACACATCTCTGGGGAAGGGGCAGATCTTCTGGTTTCCATGGCAGCAATGAACAGAAATAACTTGCCGGCCTTCAAAAAAAATAAATAAACAGATAAGATACAATTAAAAAACAGAAACTAGACCCCCACCCAAGACAGCTTTCAGAAGACTGGGTTAGTGGGATCTATGGACACACCAATGTCAAGAACACTGGGCTTCATAACTGACAGCAGAGAGGATTTACCTTGCAAATTTAAAATCTTTATTCAGAGTCCAGCTGTTCAACCCAGCAACGCATCGTTTAGGGGTATCAACCCCCTTTACTTCCATTCACCCTGGCAGAGAAGAAAGCGATGGACAAATTTACTCCGATTTACATCTATAATAATCAAGAATGAAGCTTGTCACATTTCTTAGTAAATGTATTTAAAGTCATGGTTTTGAAGGCCTCGTGCTGTCTGGAAAAGGGAGAGAAGCCCTGAGCAGTTTTCCAGCCAAAATGAAATTCCGTTAACTGTGTGGCCACCTAGCGGTTCTTCTGTGAACTTTCCTTGGTGGGTTGTCAGGTACCAAGACATCTGCACACTAGTTAAGGGATGATTCTCTGTCCTAGAATATGGCTTATCAATTGTGGCACATCCGTAGTGAGTTTTGGAATTCTATAATCACCTGGAAGGACAGATGCCCAGAGAAAAAGGAGAATGGCTATGTGGAGAAGGCTGATATTTGAGAGTAATTGGTGCTTTATTCGGAGAACTCGTGGTAGGCATCCACGGCTAAAGGTTTTCATTTTGTTTTATATCATCATCGCTGAGTTCCTGGAATAAATAATGTAAAAAAAATTCTTGGGATGATAGCATTTAGATAATATGCAGAGAGTGCCAAAAATGTGTTTACACCTTTTAAGAAAGAAAAATACTGGATTAAAATCGTAACACTGAATATATACCGATATTGGTTATCTTATATATTGTATCTCTTGTAATTGCAGAGATCAAACATGAGTTGAGTATTGCAATTTTAATCTAGTTTTTTCTTTCCTTTCTTAGAGCGTATATACTTTTTTTGGGCACCCTTTGTATTATAATAAACAGGGATTGTGGTTTATTGTTTTGCGAGTTTTAAAAAGTCACTTGCCTGACCTGAAACTGCAGCATCTATCCCCCCTTCCCTCCCTACAACCCCATTTCTTGTTATTATTATTATTATTTTAATTGAATGGTAACTATGTACATTAATGCACTTCTGGGGTACAGTGTGGTGTTTTCACATACAATTTGAAACATTTCTATCTAACTGGTTAACATAGCCTTCATGTCATTTTCTTAGTTAATGTGTTAAAATGTTCATATTCTACTCTTAGAAAGATTCACTTATACCCTTGTAAGATAAACCACAGAAGTGATCCCTCCAATCCCCCTCCTTCTACCCATCCCCCCTCCTCTCTCCCTCTCCCCTCCCCGTATTCTCAGGCTGTTATTAGGTTATAGCCTTCATATAAAAGACATAAATTAATTTCATAATAGAGGTGTGTACATTGGATACTTTTTCTTCCATTCTTGTGATACTTTGCTAAGAAGAACATTTTCCAGCTCCATCCATGTGAACATGAAGGACGTAAAGTCTCCATCTTTCTTTATGGCTGCATAGTATTCCATGGTGTACATATGCCACAGTTTGTTAATCCATTCGTGGGTTGATGGGCACATTAAGTCAAATACACATAGATCATGAATACATTTATGCATATGTGTGGTACAAAGTGTTCATTTTTTTTTAAAATACAATCTGCAACTCTGTTTCTGAATTGTGTGGCTGTGGATGGCTCTTCTTAGGTTTTAATGCTCGTTTTGATATTTTATCCTGTTCTTCTGTGGATGGTCCTTGGGTCTGCGTGTTAGAGTGGTCAACGATTTGGGCAGAGGTTTTGCTTAAACCTCAGAAGCCATTGATCTTTGCATGGGTATAGGGGAAGTATAGGGGAGTATAGGGGAAGCTCAGCCACTTTTCAACTGTCTCTGAGATTTTCTCTGGTGTTCCCTTGGTTCCCACCCCCATGTGTGGCCCAGGGGTGTGTGGAGAGCTTGTCAAACCTTCCATGATTCTCTCATTCTCAGAACATCCCCCACCCCCACTCCGATTCCATTCCTGCCTGAGCTGCGACGCTGGCAAAGGTGCATCTTCGTACTATTTATTACTGTAGGCTTTGCTACTTTTGCTTAGAAATCATTTAGCTTTCTCTTCCTCAACCCAAATCCAGCCTAGTAAAGGCCATTTAAAGAAATGTAAATATAAAATTAGATAAAAGGTGTTGGAAGGGGCAGTGCCTAAGACGGGCCCTGATGCTCAAGCTTCATTAGTTTTCTGCTAAATCTGCCTCTGTCCAGGCCAGAGGGGCCAGGAGCTCACTGCAGAGGACAGCCCAGTACCTAAAACACAACATCCCAGGATATAATGAGCTCAGTCTGAGTCTAGGCAAGTTCTAGCAGCAGGCAGGGGTCTAAGTGCGTGCATAGGGCATGCAGCAAGACGTCTGTGGGGCTGGGGTGGAAGGCAAAGGAACTTGGATGGCAGGCCCAGTAGGTCTGTTCACAACACCTGTTAGCACCTGTAGGGTCCAGGGAAAGGGTTCACATCTCTAGGTGCTAAGAACCAAATAGTATATTGGGTGTGCATTCAGATCAGGGCTCCAATCTTGGAGACCCTGTACTCAGCAACTGAGGTTAAATACGAGAAAGCAGTTGTGGAGCTGGGGTCAAATTTGAGATTAAAGACCATCAGGACTTGGGAGGGAAGGGGAGGGGGGTGGATGGGTGGAGGGAGAGTGATTGGTGGGATCATCTCTATGGTTTATCTTACAAGGGTACAAGTAATTCTTTCCAAAAGTAGAATATAAACATCTTAACACAATAACTAAGAAAATGACATAAAGGCTATGTTAACCAGTTTGATGAAAATATTTTAAATTGTATATGAAAACACCACACTGTACCCCATGATTGCATTAATGTACACAGCTATGATTTAATAAAAAAAAAATTGAAAAAAAAAAGACCACCAGGACTTGCGTGGAACTTTTGGACACCTACAAGCCCCATTTCTGAAAAATGGCTTGTGATTCTGGACAGACTTAATCCCAACTCTTCAGGCACCCCCATGCCACAGGATGGAGCTGGGACACCTGAAGCACGTTCCTATGAAGTTATGGCCCCAAACTGATTCCACAACCAGGGAAAACCAGGGAAAACTGGGCCTCCGGGGGGAAAACTAGGAAAGAGAAGCTGTGAAAATTGCTTCCTACTATGGAAACTGTGAGGAGAGGGTGCCTCAGAAATATAGAGCAGACAGGGGCAGCATTTGAAAGAAGTATAGTTAAAATCCCTGCAGCTGGGGATAGGTCACACCGGCAAACTTGGAGAACAGGACCTAAAATCCAAAAGGGCTGTAACTGTCAGAATTCCTCTGGGGGTATTTGAGAAAGGGAAAGTGGATTAGAAATCTAGAGAGATTGTATACGCAGACAGAGAGCACCAAAGCAGGAGGATTTAGAGTTATTGCTAGAAAGAAAGAAGGAGAAATTTGAAAAAAAATAATCACCAGAAATTAGCAGCTAATTAAATGTAGAGCCTAAGGCAGAGCTGTGTGTGTGTGTGTGTGTGTGTGTGTGATGAGTTTTCTGCAAGAGATATGGGCCCCGTAAAAAAATAGTGAATCAGGAAAGTGATATTCTAGGAAGGGTAGATGAGATCACCAAATTATGCCCCGTTCTTCAACACATATGGTGTCAGAGGAATCCAAAGATGTGAGTACCCTTCATTTGGTACATTAGAAGATTATTCTTTGTTTAGTGTTTTAAAACATTACATTCTAATGTTTTAATGTATATATCTGATAGGGGGTTTCTGGGGTTTTTCCACCCACAAATGTACATCGAAGATTTAAATCAGTTTCTTTGGCTTTAAGGACACAATTATGAATAGTGTTTCTTTAAGTGATGGTTTTGATGAGAACAACAGACCCAGGTGGGATAGAAAGTGCAGAGTCACCGCTTTCCTCTGCCATCTTCACGCTCTCCTCCAGGAGAAATAAACACATCAGCATAACCACCCAACAATGTGACCAAGGACAACACGGGCCTTTATCCTTCAGCTGTAGCCTTTATTTCATTGAGTCAGAATAGTTTCATTTAGCACTTAACGACTTTATTTCAATAAAGGAGAAAAAAATGCATGCAGCTTTAACAGTTTGCGAGAAAAAATAAAAAGCAGAGAAGATAAGAGACACCTTGAGAGGAGGCATCTGTGTACGAAAGAGCAGAAATCATCCCCAGGACAGCTCAATACACTGTGATAAACTGCCAGGGACAGGGCAGGCCCCGCAGAGAAAATGCCCATCATGTGGGCAGAGGCTGAAGGATCTCGAAAACCCTTCATAGGAGTGAGGAGTGTGTCCTCTCTGTGGGAGTCACTTTTCTGAAATTCTTACAACCCTCTCTACCTTGTCTGCTAGCGTCTTAAGGAATTCTCGAGAGGCAAACCTGGGGGATTTAGAATTATTAGGGATATTTTGTGTGCACCATGGTTGCCACCATCAAGATTTTAGGTACGGTGACTGTTCTTCTGCCTTCTTCACTTTTAATTTATTGGTGAGATCGATGCCACTGTGTCCTGTATTTCTGGGCATTATTGCAGGCGAGAATTTCACTTAAACTAGAATTAGTGGCAATGATGTCACGTTCTAATTAAAAGACGTGCTTTCATGTTTCCAGAGAAGGGACCTTTTATGAGTGATGTTTGGTTTCTTAAATTGTAAGTTCCCATCTTCCAAGTTGGGAGTCTTTTAAAAGAAACTAGAGTAATGTTTTATAGGAAAAGTACTAGAGCAAGGAGACTGTTTACTTTTATAAGAAGCTAAAGAGCATTTGAAAAATTATAAGACTTTTTTTCCTATAGTGTACAGGTTGTGAATTCTGCAAGTGAATGTTAATGGAAAAAAGTTGTTTCTGTGAGGACAAAGAACATTTGAAACCCCACCAGAATTGGTTTAGCAAATAGCTAGGGATGGGTGTGAAGAGCTTGCATCCAGACTCCTCAACCTAGCCTCACACCGCCACTTTGGACATCCAAGTTCAAGTTCTAAATAGAAACAGATGGTTAAAAATCAGTTGTAGTCTATAAAATCTATAACCATGTATTTCAGCTCTCCCTTTATACCTATTAATTAGAACAACTTTTCTGGATTCTGCTGGACTGTATTTACCCTGTTGTAGATTTCCCTAGCCATGCTAATGAAGCACTTATAAAATAAATAGAGATATCATGGAAGCAAAATAATTTTGTTTTCCACTACAGGATGCCAAACTCTTTGCTTGCACCCAGGAGTGTCTCCACTCTCTATAGGACAGATTTGTCATTGTGGAATAGAAGGATCTTTGCAAAATGTGACCCAGCAGAGACAGTATATCCATATTGTGCAAATTTTTTTTTTTACCAGAACTTCATACAAACCCATTACCTGGTCAACTGTAGAAATTCAACAAAAATGAATGAAGGAAGGAATGAAAAGAAAAACTCAGAAATGTAGCCAAACAGTACTCATTCTGTCTCTCTTTAACATAAGTCAAAGTTTTTAGATACACTTTCCAATAGGGACATAGTTATTCAAATGTGAAATCATTCTTCACACTTCGGGATTTGGTACGTGAAAGCTTTGGTAAAACAGTCACCAAGAAAACTGTCACTTCTGTGATTACCAAGAAAACAGTCACCAAGAAAACTGTTACTTCTGTGATTACCAACACTATGATGTCCTTTAAAGGACCTGAAGAGGGCAGCACCTGTGGCTCAAAGGAATAGGGCGCTGACCCCATATGCCAGAGGTGGTGGGTTCAAGCCCAGCCCCAGCCAATAAATAAATAAAGTATCTGAAGAAAGCCAGTGGGTATGTTTCTCTGACCAGGAAAAGTCTGATAGAAAAGTGATGTTTTTGGTATTTCTAAAAGGTATCATCACTCTGGCACCATCGAGTTCTAGCTGGCTCTTTTGACCAGTTTTAAGACTCTTGAACTAAAACACACTCAGCAGAATTATCTGTTGGAAACTTTAGCATATCAGTGAAAACATTTTTTATCCTCATATTCTGGTTTGTTTTTTTTTTGCAGTTTTGGCCAGAGCTGGGCTTGAACCTGCCACCCCTGGTATATGGGGCCGGCGCCCTACTCCTTGAGCCACAGGCGCCCCCAACCCTCATATTCTTTTGATAAGTACAGAGGCTATCCCCAGTCAATGAGTAGGTGGAGACCCCCCAAATATGTCAGCATTTAAAACCCCAGCGTTTAAAAAATAAACAAAGGTACTATCACAGGAACCTACCACATCAGCACTTTGATTGGGGTCTGTGATTCCTCTTGAATCTTTACTTGAAGGTTTCTATAATAAGCAGATTTTGTTCTATCAGAAACTGCACCTAATATTACACATGCACACAAACATGTGTGTTCACACGCACAAAATGAGCACATACACACACACACACACACGTAGACCATTGCTCTGTTATATTTTTAGGGCATGTTAAGGAATCAATACATGGTGAAGCAGCGTCAAAGTGATTATTGAAATTGATCCAGCTTATCACAACCAGGAACAGGTGCAAGGACATACCAGTGTGATGTAGTGGGGACTTGAAAAATTGGTCGGAAGTTTCTCCAAGGACTCAGTGGCTTTCTGCTAGTGAAAAGAGATACTGTAAATCTGAGTTTAGAATTGAAGTTCTTTCTTAAGCCCACAGAATAAATTTTCCGGCTATCCCTAGAATATATTTCTAGTACAAGTGTTAATACTAAAAGACAAGGATGCAACATTCTTCCCTAGATTGTTACTCTGCAAAAGTTGAGTCTAAGGATCTGTCCATAAAGCAAACACACGTGAGGGAAGAATGGGGCTTTCTTCCCGTGCATTATGAGAAGCCCAAGCCAGGTCTATTAGCGTCCAAATCTCAGTATCTCCAACCGTCTGAAAGCCGGAAGTTTCACATCCAGCTGCATTTAGCATCCTGAAGGTCTTTGAGAACCTTCAGAACTTCCTTTTAAAATACAGATACACCTGACTGAGGTTACCCTTTTTAAAGTGTTTTCTGATAACTCCCCTGTAGATATTTTTTACAATTTCTTATTTGTTTTTGTAGAGGTGGGATCTTGCCCCGTCGCTCAGGCTGGAGGGCAGTGGTGCAATCCTAGCTCACTGCAGCCTTGAGCTCTTGGCCTCAAAGTGATCCTTCTGCCTCAGCCTCCCAAGTGGCTAGGATTATCTAGTGAGTCAACGTGCTCGGCCCAGGTAAACACTAATAGAACTAGAAAGCAGGATCTAGAGGAAACAGCCTGGTGCCAGAACAGGGGAAAAACAAGTATCATTAACGTAACAGGGAAAGGATGCCAAAGATAGACTTTCTCCAACTCCCACTTTTGGTAGGGACTAGACTTTGATGGTTGACTGTGTCAAACAAGCATCAGCCAAATTGTTATTTATATAATTATATACTGAATAATACAAATACTCTAAATAAGATACTTGAGGTCCCAAACTTTCCTCTATAATTTGTGTTTAAAATATATCCTGGTATAGACATCCCTGGTTATCTAATTTCCAATAGGGGACTTTCCCCAGATCTTCCTGTTACAAATTTCTAAAATAATTTTACTATGAGAACCTATTTTGCTCAGAGTTATAGGTAGGACTGGGATGCTTTTGTCTTCCTTAAAACTTGTTTGAAGGGGTGGTGCCTGTGGCTCAAAGGAGTAGGGCACTGGCCCCATATGCCAGAGGTGGAGGGTTCAAACCCAGCCCTGGCCAAAAAAAAAAAAAAAAAATTGTTCGATGTCTCAGAATATGGTTTATATGTATAATTTTTTAATAGTACAAAAATTAATATTTTACTCAACTATTTTGCCCACAAATTGCATCTTTATCACTGTCACATATTTATGAGTCCTGCCCCCCTTCCCCTTAATCCCTTTAACATGGTCCTTAACAGCACCATGGGAGGGTCATCAGTGGGACCTCACCTATGGTGCCCATTGCAAGGTACACGTCAAATCTATTAAGAGTAGAGTATAAATGTCTTAACACAACAATAAAATAAGTGAGGTGAAGGCTATGTCAACCAGTTTGGTATAAGCATTCCAAATTATATATAACAACAGCACACTGTACCCCATAAATGCAGCAATGTACACAGTTATGATCTGATAAAAAAACAAAAATACACAAATTGCTACCCTGAATCTCCTACCTCACTGAGCCCAGGGTTACTTCCACTTTAAATGCACAAATAGATACTTTTAAAAACATCAATTAACTGGGGGCACCTGTGGCTCAAAGGAGTAGGGTGCCAGCCCCGTATGCCGGAGGTGGCAGGTTCAAACCCAGCCCCAGCCAAAAACTGCAAAAAAAAAAAAAATATCAATTAACTAAATATTGCAAATGGAAGTTTCTTACAGACAGGGGGTGAATATCTGGCAAGATTGGCTCCATCCGTGTCTCTTTCTCATCTCCAAAGTACCCTTTATTCTCCACTCCCAGCACTTCTCTAGGTGGGCTGCAGAGAAGGGAATTTAACAGTGACACAAGCTATGGGATAAACCTGGGGCTAAAACGAAATCATCTGCAAGACTGTTGAGACACTGATGCTAAGGTCACACCCTGTGACAACGAAATCACAATGTCTTCAACCCACCTCAGCAGTTTTTTCTCTGAAAGATCCCCAGGTGATTTCGAAGCGCACAAAGTTTGAGAATCACCAGGATAAGTCTTTGGATAAGTCAGAATGTACAAACTTGATTTACTACCATTCTATGACCCTCTTCATTCAGAGGCTCATACTATCCCCCCATCAAGTGCTCTCTATGGCCACAAAGGTTAAACACAGTACAAGCTCTGTTAACTTGACCACCCAAGGGACTGTAATAAACTGACCAACACGTGGAGGTGGTTGACACAAGGAACTAGGCCTCCTGTGCTGATATGTATGTGTGGCACGTGTCCGGCCTATGAGAATTAGGTTAATTTAAGGAGGTGGTCAAGGCAGGGAGGTGATCAGTTATGGGGGTTGTACTGTATTCTTCGTACCAGTTCATTTAAACCCATACAAAATGCAGACGTACCTTTGAACATGCTTCAGCTTAATACATTTTTGGTAACGAATTAATAATGTGATGATCCCGACACCGATAAAAACCAGAACAAGCACAGACACCACGATGGCAATATCTGCAACATTGAAAAACATGAAAACAGTGAATGATTAACTCTCAGTGGAGCTGTTATAATCCTGCTTCTTCCATTCAAAAGACTTTAATTCTGGACGGTGTCTGTGGCTCAAAGGAGTAGGGCACCAGCCTCATGTCCTGGAGGTGGCAGGTTCAAACCCAGCCCCGGCCAAAAACAAAACAAAAAATCAAAACAAAACAAACCAACAAAAAAGACTTTAATCCTTATCTCCTCTTAATTACTTTTACATAAAGTAAAAAGCCAAAACATCATAAAAATGTCATTTTTATTAGCAATTAACTAACACTCCACCCAGCACTCCATTATATTTAAGGGAACCATGATCACCAGGAAAAGTCTGAACTTCAGTTATTAATCCTTGTTATGTTGGGGATTTTTAGAGGATCTAGGCACGATTTAGTAAAGGCAGTTTTAGTAACTTCAGTTTGGGTACCCAAACATGAAGAATAGTGAAAAGGCCCCAGGAATTTGTACAGAAATGCTACAAATATGCAGAAAACTTGGAAAATGAGGAAAAAAAAATGTTCTCCCTGGGCAAGCTTTTGATATTTGTAAGATTATATTCTAGGATGCTCACTGGTAACATTAAGGGTTTCTTCCCAGTCCACAGGTGTCTGCTCTTCCTCACACTGGCACTGGAGCTCATGGTCATCCTCCTGGAAAAACAGTCAGGCATATTTCATCAAAGGACGGTCATACATTGTGTTCTGGTAGCTCCCCTGGCACTTGGCTAGCTCTCCCGCAAACATACACAAACATACATACACAATCCTTTCTGTGGATTAGTTAACTAAACTGCCCGTCACAATCAGTGCTGCACAAAAATAAGCAAACAAAGCGAAAGAAGAGACCACCTGTGAAAAAGGCCTTCGAACAAGAGAAAGATACCTACACATTCAAAGATAAACAGGAGAGCAAGCTTTATCTCTCCAAAAAGTATGTGTATCTTGGGTGGCACCTGTGGCTCAAAGGAGTAGGGCGCTGGCCCCATATACCAGAGGTGGCAGGTTCAAACCCAGCCCCAGCCAAAAAAATAAAAGTATTTGTATCTTAAATGAACAGCCCTTGCTAGAGTTGGCTAGAGTTGGATATATCACAGCCAAAGGGCAGACCCCAGGCTTAGTAATCACAAGATAATATTGATGTGGAAAAAAAAAACTAGTAGTATAAAGTTTAATTCATTAAAAAGCATTGTGTAATGGTTAAGAGCACAAACACTGGAGTCATCTTTCTGGATTTAAATTTCATCTTTTCCTGCAGGACATCAGTGTGCCCAATTCTCCATCTGTAAGAGTGGGAATAGGAACAGTACTCACCTCTAAGTTCATTACGAAAATTTTAAAAGCGTGTGTGTGTGTGTGTGTGTGTGTGTGTGTGTGTAGTGTTACTGATTAAACAGGCTTAGGACAGATGTCACCCACAGATAAAAACTGCTAGTAACTAATAGTCTCGAACATTGTTAAGAGCAAAAAAAAAAAAAAAAAGATTTTTAAGTTTTGTTGTTTTTCTCTAAAGTTCAAGCTAAAGTGGACATTGGTGAACTGAACTATGAGGGATGTTGCAAAGAGTCAAGTTTAAAATTTGGATTTAAACTTTATATATATGTAAATTGCTGGATACTAGATTATCAGTTCTCTAATAAAATATTTACTTAAGTGTTGGCAATATCTCTGTATAATAATATCTGATTTGGCTGCTGAATAAATTTAATTGATAACACATGGGAAAAAAGGGATCCCAAATGTATATTTGGTTTAAAAACCAGCTAACACACACACATATGTGTACATGCACACGCAGAAACAGGAATAAAGCGTAAATATCTGCTAAGACATTAATTTAAGTAGCAGTCAAATCTTACGACATTTTTATCACATTGAGAGTGGCAATTTGTTGAATTGTAGACCATTTCGTTGTTCACGCATTCACCATTGCTGCAGACCTAGAAAAGACGTAACCAATATGAATTAGAACATATTACAGCTTATTTGAAATTGTAATTTTACGTAATGCAATGTGAAATGTAAATTATATATAAAATTGTAATTTCAATTTATATGATTTAATTACAAGTTATGTAATTTTTTTCCATTGTAAAATTCCTCATGTAGCATCTTTCTTGGATGGAGAAATCCTTTGCAAGTGTTTGATGAAGGTGTTATACGTACAAGCATTGTTATATCAGACTCATTATTAAAATGTTTATGCCTTTATTAATTCTTTGAATATTGGTCTATCAGTCTACAATTACATTTGCTACAATTCTTCAGTTTCTATGAAGTTTAATTTTTATTTTTTATTTCAGGATACTATAAAGGTATAAACATTTTGGTTACAAATACTGCTTTTGTACCATTCAAGTCAAAATTATAAGTGTAGCCAGAAAGTGTGCATGGTACCTGTTAGGTGTGAATTTGCCCAGCCTCTCCTCCCCTCTCTACTTGATTTTTGATGAAGTTTACGTTTTGATTTGGTATGATGATCTATATTATATCACAATTTCTAGCTGGACATTTTATTGCTATAAATCTCATTTATGCTTAACACTTTTGCTTTAAACTTTTCTTTTTCTGGTAAGTTTTACCATCACAATATTGTTGGGTTTGTAGCTTTTGTTCTTGCCTGGTTTATCTTTGCCCATTCATTTCATTTTTAACTGTCATTTTTACTTTTACTTATAATTAAAAATTCATTTATTACTGCCAATTTAAATATTTTAAATTTTACATTGGGAGTTTTTAGTCCATTCATATTTATTGTAATAAGTGACATGTTTAATCCTACTCACTTTACTTTATTATATGATTTCTACTATTAGATATTTTAACTTACCTTTTACTATATCACTTTTTGTCTCCAATTATTTTTCTACTTTGAGTTATATATGCCGATTTCTAAATATTATTTTAGTTTACATTGATATTTTAGAACCTAAATGATTCTATCATTTTTAAGAAAAAATTAGCATTGACTTCTCCCTGTGTAAAATAAAACATTTGTCATATTTTTACTTTTTCTTCTCAGTTTACATTTTTGTGTACTTTAGCTTTGCTAAAATATCAAAGGGAAGCAATTATAATATCCAATGATGTTTTAAAATAGCCCCCAGGCAAGCAATTATAATATCCAATGATGTTTTAAAATAGCTGAATGAAGAAGTTTTAATAAAAATAAAGGGCTTTGGCTTGGCACCCATAGCTCAGTGCTTAGGGCACTGGCCACATACACTGGAGGGTTCAAACCTGGCCTGGGCCTACTAAACAACAATGACAACTATAACAAAAAATAGCTGGGTGTTGTGGTGGGCATCTGTAGTCCTGGCTACTTGGGAGCCTGAGGCAAGAGAATCACTTAAGCCCAAGAGTTTGAGGTTGCTGTGAGCTGTGACACCACAGTATTCTACCCAGGGCAACATAGTGAGACTCTGTCTCAAAAAAAATAAATAAATAAATAAATGGCTTTCATCTTACCATTCCATCTCCACATTTTGTTCCAACAGCAACTAAGCCAATATCTTCAGAATTGTGGTATAAAAACATGGTTTTGCATTTGATGGTGGCATTCCGGCCATTCATCTTTGGAGTTTTGAGGTGATACATCTTGTCTTCTCCATGGAGAAATGAATGATGTCCCCCAGCGCAGTATAGCTTTCCACACTTGACATCTCTGAAGAAAAGGGAGACTATTCAGAGACTGAAGACCAGAAACAGAACTAAGTGAAGTGGTCTGGTAACATTTTCGTGACGCAGGTTTTCTAGCAGGTTAAACAGGTCAGAAAAGGCAGAGAAAACCACTGGACCATCAAAGTCCTGAGCCTGGATACTGAGATGAGTAGGTAAAGAATGTAAAATTATCCCATGTCCTTTTGATCCTTGCAGGATGTGACTAACAACCCTATCAGAACAGTTCCATTCTTGCTTTCTAAATCAGATCTAACTTCCGAGTTTTCCTACTCACTTGCCTCCTTTTATGGCTTCCCTTCTTTCCTTCCCTGTTCTTTTCCATTTTCTGCTTATTTCTTCCTTCCTCCTGTCTCCTCCAGTCCCCCTGCCCCCCATTTTTTGTACCACTCATTTCCTCTCTTTCTTTTCTAAGCTTCTTAAATCTTCCCCATCTTTCCTCCTTGCATTCTGTGACCATAATCTAATAAACACCATCTAATGCCATCAGGGATGTGTGTTCTCTCCTTTCTTGTGCCCCCTAGCTTCCTAATCTCCTCACTAAAAAGACGTTAACAGCTGTCAGAACAGGAGCTATTCTGAATTTGCAAAACCCTGTAAGAGGCCACTTACTTTTTTCCACAGGGCACTTACTTCTCTTCACAGGGAATGAATCGGTCTTCCTGGGTTTTGCAGTATCCAAATTTATTTCCCTTTTTATTCATTTTGTAGCACATATCATGGCTTCCTTTTGCCCCTGGGGTTGCAAAATGGTATGATAAAAGTAAAACAAGGAGAGCATGAGTACCATGAATCATAAAAGATCTTACTTTTCTAATGTAATTGAATTTTCAGTATCATGTAATACCACGTCATGGCGAAACTGAAAAAAACTATCCTATTGTCTCAGGAGGATCCTTTAGAAGTAGGAGAGCTATATGAATGTATATGTAACTTGCATTAAATATGCATAACATACATTAGCTCACAGACTGAGCTAATCAATTAATAGTAGACATAACACCCAGAGAAGTGGTAAGTAATATGTTGGAATAATGCCACAGATGGAATTATCTCCAACCTTGATCTATTTCTTACAGGACAATGCAGAGAAACATAGGCTATTACGTTCTTAATCATTCACTGTGATTGTGCCTCACCATCATCAAATAGTTCAGAGCACTGATCATCCCGTGTGGGACATTTCCCCATGAAGCAGTAGCCCTCTGCGTTCTTGCAGGGAAATCCATTGACGCGGAATTGGTCCTTAGGACATTGATGGGAGTGGCCAGTGCACACTTCAGGAAAATCACATTCATTTCTTGCTGGTCTGCATGTGGACCCTGCTTTTTTAATCTGTTAAGGAGAAACAAAGAGACTGAATCTAGGTTTAAGGTTAAGTCAATACAGAGAAAGTTGACCCATTTAATTTATCTAAAAAAGGCATGAAAGATGGATCATAGCTTCCTTCTCCTTGCCACTGAGAATTGCTATTATTTGTAAATGTTTTGATTTTCATGCAATTTTAGGAATGACAAGATGATGTTTTGAAATGGTATTAGGACAGCCTTAGGTAGACTTGGAATAGATGTAAAATGGAGAGATGGGCAGATGTTCTCATTTATCTTGTCTTTTCTTCTCATTCAAAATGATCCCGTATAGGCTTTAACCCCAAATAGGGAACCTCTGCTTATAATGAGAAATCTCCATTCCCAAGAAACCATATTCCCCCAAAGGGGAAAGAAAATACCTAGACTCCCCCTGCTGGAGAGAAATGCAGAAGGCTATTCTCTCATTCAGCCATTCAGTATGCATTTGATAGTCCTGGGTTCTGGACGAGTTTCAAGATGCAAATGTGATTCTCTTTCCTTTCCTTTCCCTTTTCCTTTTCCTTTTCCTTTCTCTTCTGCTTCTCTTCTCTTCTCTTCTTTTCCTTTGAGACAGAGTCTCTCTCTCTTTTTTTTTTTTTGAGGTAGACTTTCAGTTACTCTGGGGGTAGAATGCCACGGACTTCCTTCCTTCCTTCCTTCCTTCCTTCCTTCCTTCCTTCCTTGAGACAAGAGTCTCACTTAGTCACTCTGGGGACAGAATGTTGTGTAGTCATAGCTCATAGCAACTTCAAACTCTTGGGCTCCAGTGATTCTTGACTCAACCTCCTGAGTAGTTGGGACTACAAGTGCCCACCACAACACCCCTCTTTTTTTTTTTTTTTTTTTTTTTTTGAGACACGATCTAAGGCAATCCTGCCTTGACCTCTCAGAGTGCTAGGATTACAGGTGTGATCCTGGCCATTTCCCAGTGGGGTGAGAGAAGTATCAATAATCCCTTGGATTTCTGGTTGTCTTCCCTAGGAATATTTCTTTTCTACTAGTCACTATCCCTTTCCAGTCCCAATACAATACTTGTCCTACTTACCCACTCCTGTTGAGATATCAATTTTTCTTTTAGCAGAAGTTAAATAGGTTGGCAATGATTTATATGGGGACATTGGTCATGTGACTTCCCTCCTAAAACACTAAGTGCTGCTTACCAACTTTTCCACTCTCCAGACCAGAGCATTGACCAAAGTCCAAATGTTGGAGCCTCTCAGAAGAGCCACTGTTGGGAATTTGCAAGCTCTGCCCCATTCTGGAATTAGTGGTGTAATTTTGCCATGGCCAGATAGCTCTTTGATACTGTTTTAAGGACATACACTTAAACTGAAAACAGAGAAACCCTCTCCCAGGAAAAGATCTTACCTGACAAAATTCACAGCATTCTCCTTCTGCACAAGTAAATCCTGGCTTCAGTATACATCTGTGTGCATCACAGCAAGGATTAGTGCACTCCTGGAAATAATCAAAACTTAAAAGATCAGAAACTGGCATGTGGTTTGATTCCTATTTGAAGAGTTAATCAGTTGTTCTGCTGTGTGATCATTCAGAGTTAAATATTAATGCACAACCTTTGGCTATGGTATATAGATAAATACCGTCATTTGGAACTGGTTATTTGGTGTTTTGCTTTTTTCTGTGTTTCTTTCCCTCATTCTGTTTGGTGTGCCACAGCCAATAAAGTCTCATTGGCAGAAGCAGAGAGTCTAAAGCTTGTAATTTTCCATTCTCCCAAGACCTCAATTCTTGCAAGGTTTCTTACTGCTCCCCCACTACAGTTTGATGTGAGATAATACACTTCTGAAGATCTGGGTTTAGCCTTTTGCTCGAGGTGCTAAGTATTCCTGGTTGATCCTTGTTAGCACATCATTAAGTAACAGCAGGGGATCCTATTTGCTTGAACAAAGTACAAAATAAATTGTCTGTGTCTGGTCTGCTAAGATACTTCATGTGTGAGAATGAAATGATAAAACCATTCTTCTTCCAAAGAGGGTCAGTTTCTGAAATTAAGGTACTCTTTGCATTTAGTCTGAGACATCTGAAGACCAGTTCTTATAACCTAAGGACAGCTTACTGTCCCCACTCTGATTCTGGGGTCTCTAATTTCTCCCCTCTTATACCTCTTTGAATTCTGCAGTGTCTAGACATGGGTCCTCAAACTTTTTAAACAGGGGGCCAGTTCACTGTCCCTCAGACCATTGGAAGGCCAGACTACAGGCCCTGGGATGAGTCAGCTGCTAAGCAGGACAGGCAGTGGCAGCAAAAACACCCCGTGGGCTGGATTAATGTCCTTGGCGGGCTGCATGTGGCTGGTGGGCCACATGTGGCCCAAGGGCCCTAGTTTGAAGACGCCTGGTCTAGAACATAGGTCCTCAACAAGTGGTCCTCAGACCAGCAGCATTGGTGTAACCTTGAAGGTTGGCAGGAATACAGAATGTCAGCCCCACTCTACACTCACTGAATCTGACTCTATGTTTTAACAACACCCCTGGTGATTTATGTGCACTTAAGAATTCGAGAAGTAGTTGTCTAGAACACACGCCTATGTGATGAGCTCTGGAAAGCAAGACTATGTTGGGGAAAAGCATATTAAGAATTACTTTCAAATTTGTCTCCATGGACTTTTCTAAATGTTCTAGAGACCAAGACTACAATAAACATGTAAAAAGTCAAAAGGGTTCTACTCTATTAAGAGAGAGTTTTCTAATAACAGGAACTGTCCCACTGTGATATAGGCTAGCCTCCTGAGGCTCTGAATGAGACTTACTTGATTCGGATGAGTTTGATAGAGCAGATTCCTACCATGCAAGAGAGGTCAGACTTAGGATACCTCTGAGCCTTCTTACAAGAGGGCCAAGTTAATATATAAACCAGGCAAAATTGATACTCCAATGAAATCTTTATACATGATTCATGACTTGATAAGAAAGAAGTCTTGGGCACCACCAGCTTGTTTCAAAACCAACAAACACACAGAAAGAAAAAAACCCAGAAAACAAATAAACAGTTTTTTAAAGTTTTAGAAACACCATATACTGACTTGATTAATGCCACAACTCTGCCTATGTTCTAGCTGCCCATGATTTTGGTAATTTAAAGATAACACTCTCATTTGCAAATACCTGAACGGGGCCACAGTCACATTCTTCCCCCTCATCCAACTTTTTGTTTCCGCAGTATGGGAAATCAGGGAACTTGCTGGGATACGGAATGTTGCCCATACATGCTGGGTTATAATCCTTCAGGTATTGGAGATATTGGTTTTGGCTGCATTTACTGAATTTTAGTGCAGGAACGCTAGAGATAAGATGAGGTGAAAAGTAAGATTAAGCCTGTCGATGCATTGTGGTATAGCAGCTGTGTAAGTTTTATGAAGCAATTAGCAAAACTGTATGGAAATATTCACTGTTAGAGCAGGGGTAGAACTAGGGTCTTTATTGTTAAACACATCTCCAAACACAGCTAACAGGTGCTATTTTTAGTGAAAATACTCTGACTATATATCCATCATTCAGCAAGTCCTTTCTGAATCTCTCAGTTAAGGCTGGTTGTCTATGCTTGCTGTTCCCATGTTCTTTTCAAAATAATCTATATACACTTGTTCAGCATCTCTGCAAGAATGCAAACTTCTCCGAGCAAGGATTATAGAGTGCTCGGTTCTTAAGAAACAAACAAACAAATAAAACCTCTAATTAATGCAGTGCCTGGTACAGTAGTCCTCTATAAATATGTTTTGAAACAAATTGTTTATATCATATGTATCTTAAACTGAAATTCATCTCCCTTTCATCTTCCTTTCTTGTGACTCCCTTGATTTTTATTTATTGGCATAACAATGACAGAAGGACTTTTAGAATCTCAATTATTATACTGGGATGGTGGGACTCTGCAAAATACGGCTAATTGTGTTTGCAATAGCATAAAATTAAGTATTAGTTACTGAGTTCTTACTCTATGCTAGCCAATGCATTTGGGAGTGTTAACTACCTTACTTCATTTAGTGAAGGTGAGAAGCACTGATTATCAGTATTTTCTTGCTATACATAATGCACTGCCTGTACCCACAGTGAAGGGATTCAAAGACGTGCAGGACTCTGGACTGACTGTGTGGTACTTCACAGTGTAATGGGAAAGGAAGGATATTTATTAATCCTGTAACTATGGAGTACCTAACATGGGGCTTTTCTAGAACAATAATGATATTAACAGTGACTAAAACAGACAAAATCCTCTAACCTCATGGAGCTTCTATTCCAGTGACAGAGCAAGGTCATTAATAAGCTAAATAGGGTGGTGCCTATGGCTAAGTGAGTAGGGCGCCGGCCACATATACCAAGGGTGGCGGGTTCGAACCGAGCCCTGGCCAAACTGCAACAAAAGAAAAATAGCTGGGCGCTCTGGTGGGTGCCTGTAGTCCCAGCTACTAGGGAGGCTGAGGCAAGAGAAATCGCCTAAGTCCAAGAGCTGGAGGTTACTATGAGCTGTGGCACCATAGCACTCTACTGAAGGCAACAAAGTGAGACTCTGTCTCAAAATAAATAAAGAAAGAATTAAGCTAAATACATACAACACAGAATCATATTTTAGGTAATAAATATTGAGGAGAAAACAAAACAAAACAATGGGGGAATAATGGAAATGTCAGAATTTGTATGTGACTAGATAGGATTAACAAGTTAGAAATAATGTTTGAGTAATGATATAGATGATGTTATAGTTTATAGCAATGATGACCAAGCAGTCCTGAGTCTATTCTCCTAAAGAGCCTTGGTAGACATTGCTACCACTTGCTCAGACTGTATTTTTTTTTCTTTTTCCAGTTACTTATTATTCTTAAATTTTTTTTGTTTTCTTTTCTTTTATTTACTTTCATAGTTTACTTTCGTGATTTTCCCAGATGGAGTTTTAGAATTTCTCTCACTGTATTACTACAGAGAGACATACCATAGTTAATAAGATTTAGGCACCAAAGGGAAACTCCTGGTCATGTCTAGTTTTGTCATCAACCTTCCAGGAAATTCTACAAAATAAAAATATATCCTAAAATAGTGGAATTTGACCCCAAAGCTATTCCCAAAGTATTTAAACGTAGTCTCCATGTTGTCTGAACTTCACCTTCCACTGGTATCCATCACACATTTGCCGAAAGGACAGGTGCATGGGAACTCATCATGCTGCATCCCAAGGTTATGTCCCAGCTGGTGTGCCATTCTGTTTGCAACTATATTTATGTCAGGTAAAAGATCCTGATGCAAGCAGAAAATGTGCATTAGAGATTTATCAGTGATAGCACACTATACTACACAGTACTTCAAACTAGCAGCTGAAAGGCCCAGTTTCTAGCTCCTAATCAACTAGTACCTTTTTGAGAGGTCCTGGACTTATTTACCTCCCTTCCCGCACAGCTCAGCTTCTTTAATTAAATGAGGAAGCTAGGAAAATGGCCTTTTAAGTATCTCTAGCTCTGACACTTGGACATTTGCTTTTTAGGGACAGTGTTAGTCATTGTTGGATTTACAGAAACTCATTCTTACAAATAGCTAAGAACTAGGAATAATGTTAATGTAGTCTGAATGTTTGTGTCTTTCCCAAAATCCCTTGTTGAAGTTCTAATCCCTGTGGTGGCATTGAAAGGTGATACCTTTGGGAAGTCATTACACCACAGGGGCATAGATCTCACGAATGGGATTAGTGCCCATACAAGAGGTGCTTACATGAGATTCCTCTCCCCTTCTACCCTGTGAGAACACAGACAGAAGTCACCAAGTCTGACTCAGAAAGTGGGTCTTCACCATATGCCAAAGCTACTGGTGCTTTGATCTTGAACTTTCCAACCTCCAGAACTGCGTGAAATAAATTTCTGTTGTTTCTTTGCCACTGAGTGTATTTTGTGGGTGTTTTGTTACAGTAGCTAAATAGACTAACAGAAATGTTCTACGTAATATAATAAAAATTTATTGTCTTCTTTATGCTAAACAGAAAAATATATGAGGTTCTTATTTTTAATTTATAGTCTAATGCTACATAATCTTGAGGAGTTTCTATTACTAGGAAAAAATAAAACATAGATATAAAAAATCTATAGAACTGTGTTGGCTCATAGCACTATTTCATATTTGAATCTTTATGCTAATAAAAAATTAATTTCCAAAGAAGAGTGGTATATCAAATTACTATATAGTTAATAAAACATCCCTAATTTGATCATTTTATCTTATCCATATAAAGTTTAATAAAATATATTCTGGACCAGTTGTAATATCATAGGTACAATAGTAACAGCCTTTATTGTCTACAACTTTTATTACTGAAATACCACAGGCAAAACTACAGCATAAAAATAACTATAAAATAAATAAGTCATGTAGCAATTTAAATAAGTGCAACCACTTAAGGTTGAGGTTTTTAACTAGACTGGACTGGGCATAGTAACAACTAGGTAGAGACATAAAGTAAATAAATATGAACCCCTTGGGGCAGTGCCTGTGGCTCAAAAGGATAGGGTGCCAGCCTCATATGCCGGAGGTGGTGGTTTCAAACCCAGTCCCGGCCAAATAAATAAATAAATAAATACGAACCCTCATGTTTTCAAGAACCTCTCAGATAGTGTTCCTTGGACAATAGTTACTAGGAGTTCAGAGACTTGGGAAAAGGATCAGATAAATGAGTCTGCAGTGTACAGATGTTATGCTTTGTCAAAATGAATCGCAAAGACATCTTAATATGATATATTAAGTGATTTATGAACTTCAGTATTAGTACAAGCACAATTGCCCACACTGGCTAAATTAGCCATAAGTTTTATGTATGTTATCTGTCCTTATAAATAGTCACATTTAATATATACAAAAGAGCTTTCCTCATCATTACATACTAAACTGTCTATCATAGCCTTCTAAACTCTGAACTACACTGGTTTACCTTTATTATTTGTCTATGATCTTTAATAAAATATTTCTCTTCTTCTTTAATAAAGCATAATAAATAAATATGTCTGTGGGTGACATATCTTGGGGAGAATAAATGACACAGTACACAGATAGTCTCTTTCCACGGGACACAGAACATTACAGAAATTAAAACTTTTTGATTAAGTAACACAACATAAATAAAACATATCCCACCTTAACAACACTGGAGGAATGATAGGGCAGGCACATCCCCCCTTGGTAAGAAATTCCTTGTGCATTTGTGTAGAGCCACTTGCCACTATGACCAAGATGCAAAAACACAATTCAGAGTTACACTTGACTTCTGACTGCAGGTGTTCAAAGCTTTGTGTTTCTAAATTCAGACTGAAAGTTAACATCTATATAATACTAGAAAAAAAGATTAGTAAGCTGTGTTTGCCAACATTGGGAGAAATATTGATACACGGTATAGGTAATTAAAGCAGGTAAAGTGGGTACCACTTTAATATAGTGACTTTAAGGGTATTGGAAGATGTGATCATTCCCAAGTGGTTCTCCTACAAGTTAGCATTCCTTAGGATAACAGGGCTACATGAAATATAAGGTAGGATTAAGTTCCTAAATACTTACAAATACTGATACTTAAATATTTATTCTTTGGGCTAAGTACTGTACTAGATATTTTGATTACTAAAAATCATAAAATAGCCTCCTTTTTTAAGGAAGTCATGATTGAATAGTCTAGAAGAATTCACACTTTTACTCAGCAATATTAAAGCTACGATAGGTTTCACTTATCAGAGTATCTGTCTGTCCACCTGTGTCGTCTGGAGTATGGTCTTGAGGGGCTAGTTGCTGGATGGAAACAGGTGGATGAGGAAAAACGCCAGAGAACAAGATGTTTTCCCAGAAGAGCAGGTTTTGGTGGAACAGTGGAATGGCATAGCCATTCTATTCCATTTTGGTGGAAGGGTGAGGGGAGTTAGCACTGGACATTGGTAAGTAATGTAAATGGATTCTAAAAATATTTTGTTTACCTAATGGTATTTTCAACTTGGCCAAGGAATATGAATATATCAGATTTTTCCCTTTTAGTATTAATCAATATTAAAAGAAATACCATTAAGTAGTCTACTTGGACATTTTTCTATAAAGTGAGAAATACTTTTTGTCCCTACCTACTATGCAAAAGTCAGTCACTTTGAAAGGTTTTTGTTGTTTATCTATCTTGTTTTCTTTTTTAATAATCCATCGAAAGTATGTAGAAAACAAGAGTCACCACATACCTGAGTAAGAAAACATGATCAAAATTCTTCCTCGGTTTAAGGAATGTTTCCTGCCATGTTGAAAAACGCAGTAAGGTAGTTTCTATATTTGAATGTTGTAATAGTTTATCTCCGTTTGTCCAAACTTCAACGCCAACCAGTGTCACGTGAATGTTCAAGGTTTTATAAATCTGTTCAAAGAAGAAATTGTTTTCACTTATTGCGTTGTTGCAAAGATCTGTAATCATGACCTCATTCCTTTGCTTTTCTAAAAAAATAGCAATTTTTACTTGTGTGGTACATAAGTCCTCACTTTACAAACGGACATGTGAACATGGAATGCAGCGTGAAATTGCCCAGAATTCTAGGTGAATTTCTACAGCCAACAATAGCATTGACTGTAGAACAATGAAACTTGACCACAAAAGTCTGATCATCTTTGAACTATGATAAGCCCAATAGGCCCCAGTCCCAGGATGTGTTTAGAGGTAAGATATATTAAAGGTCCTAGGCTATAACTGGCCTGAAAGGGTGAATTCACTAACAGGGCACACTGTAGAATAGCTGTTCTTTATTTGTCTGTCTACTTTAGATGAAGAGTTGGTTCTGGGTCAGGTTAGAAAGCTGGTGTTAGTTTTCAAAAACTTAGCTTTGCTGCGTAAGAATTAGGCTCCTTACAAAGTTAGGCATCTAGTCAAACCATGACTTCATATCTACACTGGAGACTGTGATACCCATCCCTGTTCCTCCAGGCTCCCATCTTAATGTGAGACGAACTTTACAGATCAGATCTTCCAAAATGAGGATAACCTGGCTTAGCGGACCCTGTCTATTTATGGGTGGACTTAACATTCATAAAGCTGGACACAAGTGAAAATGGAATCATTAAGGAGGGAAGAGGAGGGGGGAGGCTGGGTGAAGGGAGGGTGATTGGTGGGACCACACCTACAAAGGTACATGTGAAATTTACTAAATGTAGAGTGTGGCGGTCTTAACACAATAACTAAGAAAATGCCATGAGGGCTGTGTTAACCAGTTTGATGAAAATATTTCAAATTTTATATAAAACCAGTACATTGTACCCCATGACTGCATTAATGTATACAGTGATGATTTAATAAAAAGAATAAAATTAAATAAAGATTTACAGTTCATAATTTATACAAGCAAATCATTTTAATGTATTTTACTGAAATACCCAGTTTCTGTACAAAATCATGGGCAATACATTACAGCTTGGGAGACTTCTTGCTGTACAAAGTCACACACAAGAGCAGTGATTTAAAGCAGTGAGACTTTCAGGGGTAATAGTGTACAACTTGCGCCCACCAGCTGACTGTATGCTGACTTTGTGAGGACTTTTTTGCTTCTCTGTGGTAATAGGTATCATGAAAATTATGCACAGATCTTGTTTTTCACTAACCAGCTTCCATTACTGTTTGTGGATTTAACACCTATCTCCAGAGACAACTATGATTTTTTTTGCAATGTGTGGCAGAGAAAAAAAATGATTGGACACCCCTGGACAGTGATTGGTTATCAAATTCTTTATACATTGCTTCATAAATTTTGTGATTACAGGCCAATATTTGAAGCCTATTTAAATAATAAATGGCATTTACTTAGAAAACTGAAAACAAGAGCTGTGGTTTGGTGCTATTATTTTCTTCAATGCATTTTTGCTAATTAGTCTGCTTGGCGACCTTTTGAGGTTTGGACTGCTTTGTATTGGGGGGACTATAACAGGGCAACAGAGATCTATCCTACAAAGTTTGCAGGATTTGCATTTTCAGCTTGATTCAAAACTATATTAAACCTTACCATGTTGACAAAATTGACCATTCCCCAAATTCGGCTCCTTAGTTTATTGTGAGGGTGACTATTCCTACGATACTGGAAATAGAAGCATCATGTCAACATTTATTCATAGGAGTTAAATAAAAGCTCAACAAAATTCTTCACCCATTATGAGATATTACAAAGAAAAAAGACCATTGGTAAACAGGCCTCTTTCCAGTCAGCTAAAACCAGGCAACGTAGACAGAAATAAATTTTTGATAGGAAATATTACTAAATACAGCTGTTTATAAAGACATGCTTTGGCTTAGCACCCTTTGAAGTCTCTCTTTCTAACTTTTCCCCTTTCACATGACATTATGCTGCATTATTTATTAAACCAATGGATCAGTGTTCTTTGGAATCCACTTTAGTCATATTGATGAAACACCACCTATCACAGGTCCATAGTAATTGTTGCACTGTAACCAACAACAGCGTTATCATGTTTTCTGTGTCTATGTTATCACATTTTGTTTTCTTCTTACAACTGAATTCCCTCTTCCACTGTCAGAATCTTATTGTCGAGTCAGACGTACAGTGATTATGATAAAATATCATTTTATTATTAAAATGTACTTAATAACAACGTAAGGAATCCTGTAGAGATAAATGCAAAAGGTTAAACTTCTTTCATAGGAAAAACCAAAATAGATATGCTTTACTTGAATCCTAAACATATCCACTAGTTACCATTCCATGGGTCTTCCATTGTCTCAATTATCCAGAAGCCTCTGAGGTATAGCATGAGAATGTCTTTAATTTTCCTCCACCATTGATTCTAAGCTTGGTCATATGCCTTTACTCTGGCTAATGAGATGTTCATACATGTAATGCAGCAGAATCTTGGAAAGCTCTTGCACACTGGAGCCTGAACTCGCTGTTGAATTTTTGGTGCACTGCCTACTGGAGATGCATGGCTCAAAACCAACATCACACACCCTACAAGTGACTGAGGTCCTCTCTGACCAGCCAATGAATGAAGCCACCAGGTTACTACAGGGGCAAAAATGACACTCACTGGGTTTGAAGCAGTATGTTACACAGCACTAGAGAACTAAAATAAAGTTTATAATAACTGTAAAATATGAAAAGAATTCTCCCACTTCTTCTACTCTTCAGAAAAGTTTGCAAAAGATAAGGTTATCTATTACAATGGACTTTCATAAAAATTTGTCTTTAATCTGAGCCTGGGGTCTTTATCTGTTGATAGATTGTGGATGACTTATTTACTTTTTCTAATAGGTTGTTTTCTATTTTTTTTTCTTTTCTTTGAGAGAGAGTCTCACTGTGTCACCCTGGGTAGAGTGCTGTGGCATCATCACAGCTCACAGCAACCTCAAACTCCTGGGCTCAAGTGATCCTCTTGTCTCAGCCTCCCAAGTAGCTGGGACTACAGGCATCCCCCACAATGCCTGGCTGGAGGGGGCGGGTTTCCTATTTATTCTTGAGTCAGCTCAACAGCATTTTATTGTGTACTTGACCTCTAGCAGTTCAGTGGGTCTTTAATCAACTTTCATGTAGAGAATCTTTGCTTGGCATGTGTGCATCTCAAAAAATAAAAATAAAAAAGATAATCACATCCCACATCTGTACATGATAAACTTTAGGATTTCTCTTTTCCCAGGCACTGTATTTTCCCTGCCCGTGGCTACAGGCAGATAGAAAATTTCCTTTGTTTCTTGCAGTTTCAGTGGAACTTTTCTGGTGCCTTTTGCTGGTATATGGGGAAGCCCTTTATGACTCTGGAATGGTGCAGATGCTTCATTTCCAAATTTTAGCCTTCTTCAGTTAATTCCTCAACTCCCTCTTTCTCTATAGTGTGGGTCTCTGAGCCTTTGAATTTGACTTACTGTTCTGACAAAGACTTTCTTCTTCATTTTTACCCCTTGGAGATTTCCAGTGGTTTCTTTCAAGCTCAGCTATAGCTCACCAACACGCTCTCTGTCTCTTATATGCTGTTCAGCATTTCCGTATAGTTACAAAGGAGAGGAGGGCTCTATTCTGAATCCATCTGCAATACTGTCAAAGAACCTAATAATCTCTTATATTTGATACAGCTGCTTGGGGAGGCTCAAAACAGAATTTTGACCCAGAATGGAACTCTTACTAGAATTCATTTTTGTTTTTTGTTTTTTTTTTTTTTGCAGTTTTTGACTTGGGCTGGGTTTGAACCCACCACCTCCAGTATATGGGGCCAGTGCCCTACTCCTCTGAGCCACAGGTGCCACCCTCATTTTTGTCTTGATATTAGAGTTGCAAGTATAATTTTATGAGGATGAATGAAGAACAAAAGGTTCATCTGAAAACTTACCATGTTCTCATCAGCAACAATGAACAGTTCAACATAGTTTTTCTTACGGATATTCTGTAAATTTACAGAAAAGTCAGTGAAGTGTGATTAACATTTTTTTATCTTTAACATTTTAAGTTGAAAAAACTGTAACATTTTCAAGGTAAGAAATGTTAATATTATTGGTACCAAAAGGTGAGGCATAGGAGTATATCATTTGCTAATGTTATCAATCTATCTAAATGAGATCTACTATATAATTAAACATGTGGCCAGTACATCAGATTTTATTAATCCTGTAGGAACATACCATATTCTTTACTTACTTTTTATTAAACCATAACTGTATACATTTATGGGGTACAATATGATGATTTAATATACAATGTGGAATGCTTACATCAAATTAATTAAAATAACCATCACCTCATTTACTTATTTTTGTGGTAAGACTTTTTTTTTTTTTTTTGAGACAGGGTCTCACTACGTAGCCCTCAGTAGAGAGTTGTGGTATCACAGCTCACAGCAACCTCAAACTCTTTGGCTCAAGACATTCTCTTGCCTCAGCCTCCTTTGTAGCTGGGACTATAGGCGCTTATCACAACACCTGGCTATTTTTTGTTTGTTTGTTTGTTTGTTTAGCAAGCTGGGGCTGGGTTTGAACCCACCAGCCCTGGTGCCTGTGGTCAGTGCCCTAACTGCTGAGCTACAGGCACTGAGCCTGTGGTGGAACATTTATAATATAGTCTTAGTTGTTCTGAAATGTACCCTTGCATTTTGTACAATAGGTGAAATCCCTCCAAATACCCTCCTTCCACTGGCCCTTCCCTCTCCCCTCCCTTCTCACTCCTCTCCATTTCATTCTGGATTATCTGTGTGTTTTATCATTTGTATGAATGTGTAAGTGTTTATATATTGGTTTCATAATAGTATGGAATATTTTGGAAACTTTTTTTTAAAAATTCTTGAGATACTTTACTAAGAAGAGTATGTTCCAGGTCCATCCAGTAAACATAAAAGATGTAAAGTCTCCCTCTTTTTTATGGCTGCATAGTATTCCATGGTCTACATATACCACAACTTGTTTATCCATTCATGGGTTGATGAGCATTTAGGCTGCTTCCATGACTTGGCTATTGTGAATTGGGTGAACATTCCACACTTGACCATACTTCCTGTCTTTGTTTAGTCTTTCAGGTCAACTAAGAATTATAAATGATTGTGAATCCAGATTTTAACATTTAGGATTAACTTTTTTTATTTACAAAGTAAATTTTTAATAGGTAAGCTCACATGAAAAGTACTTAGCCATAGCTGAGAGCTAAAACCTAGGAATGATGAATGGACTGACTATTCCTCTCCTCTTTAGGCCTCCCAACCTCCTAATTTGCAGTAGTCTTAATTGTAAGTAAATATGAATAAATATGCTGATTATAGGCAATTTTTAATAAAACATTAATATACGGAAATTCTTCTAAGTTCTCAGCTTTTAATGTGTATGCACTGAAGTTCCTGCCTATAATCTGAGGACAAACTAGAGGCACAGTGTTAAAAGGTTTGACTAAGCCACCCTTTTGTGGACTGAGTTATCATTTATATGTTGGTATATTCAATCAAGAAACATCTACTAGGCATTTAGTGTATTTCAGACACTGTATGGACCATGGGTATGAAAAGAAAGTGAATGGTCAGATGTCTTATAGGCTCACATCTAGTGGGAATTTAAGATGATATGAAGTAGGTGTATACAAAAGCCCAAAATATAGAGAGCTATGTTGGTGTGAACGTACCATCCAAAACTGACTTGTTTTTGATCTTATCCTTAACTGTCCTTAGTCATTAAAACATTTGACCTGATGAAAGCTGGAGAACCCAGCTGGTCATCAATGATTCCCCTCCACGTGGCAGGGAAGATAAAGAAAGATAACACTTAGGATAGTTTTCAAGACGTTGCAAATTTCATTCTTCTAACAACTTAGAGACCCAGTGCTGTCAATCTATAAGTAGGGTTGTAGATGGAACAAACTGAGATTTACTCCAGGGAAGCATTTCAAATTGTATGTAAAACCAGCACATCGTACCCCAGGGTTGCATTAATATACAAAGCTATGATTTAATAAAAAAAAAAATAAAATAAAATGGAACTGAATGTGGAAAAAAAATACTTTCTATATAGATAACAAAAACAAAAAAAATTGAATTTCAAATCTCAGATGAGGAAACATCAGACTCAAGGCAGCACATGTTGGATTCCTCATAATCCCTCCTTCAAGAGCATAAAGAAAATAAAAGGTGTTTTACTTGGGGTCAAGATGGTTTAATAATAAAGCACTCACTTTTGTTTTGGCGTCTTCCTTAGAGACAGTATCCCCTGAAACATACTTCCTGGTGAAATTAACCTCTGCACAAGAAAAATTGGCAGCATATGGCATCCTGGGGTTGTATTTGAACACCAGATGGTCTCCTTCATTTGAATATTTCACTGGTTCAATGAGGTACCTTTGGTCATTCACTCTGAAAAATCCCCTGCAGAAATTGGGAACAAAGTCATGTGTTCAAGATCTGCAGTTACTCTATTTCATTTCAGTGACTTTGCCTTTTTAAGAAAGGGAAGTTACAAAGTCAATGTCTCACCGGCATGTAGCTGGGTGCTTTGGGTGGAAAGGAGATGACATGTGGTTTCGGATTGGGTAACTTTTTCTACGAGTCAATTTATCTGATTTTCAGAAGCACTTTCACTGTCCAGTTTCTGCTTGAATGTAAGTAGAGCAGTAATTCCTATCTGTGGTTGTGGACTATGGGCATCGTCCCCTCCCTCCAATCTTGGGAATTTTCATGTCAATTATACATTAAATGTAGAGAAAATATATGAAAGTAAAAATATTAAGATATGGTAATGTTGTCACTAAAAGGGTTCTTTTTTTGTTTGTTTGTTTTAGAGACAGAGTCTCACTTTGTCACCCTCAGTAGAGTGCCATGGCGTCATAGCTCACAGCAACTTCAAACTCTTGGGCTCAAGTGATTCTCTTGCCTCAGCCTCCCAAATAGCTGGGCCTACAGGTGCCTGTCACAATGCCTGGCTATTTTGAGAGATGGGGTCTTGCTCTGACTCAGGCTGGTCTAGAACCGGTAAGCTCAGGTGATCCACCTGCCTCTGTCTCCCAGAGTGCTTGGATTACAGGCATGAGCCACCTCTGCTGGCACCAGTAAAGGCGTTCTTGTTCTTGAAAATACTGGGAACAACTCAAGTAAATCCCCATAAATGAAGAAAGAATGCCTCTTCTTCTACCCTTTACCTTTCTACATCCTCCTTTGTCCTTAAACTCAAGATTACATGGAACTATATGCTTCTTACTGACCTCTTACTCTTCAAAAGACTGGAAACACAACCCCATTTACTGAAAATCTAAATTAGTGAAGCATTATGGTGTAATGGGAATTTACAGAAGTAGCAATCAAGAGACCTGGATCTCTGACTTCAGTATCCTGACCCATATGCTGAGAAGACGGGCAAGATGACGTCCAGTCATCTACCAACACTGAGACCCTTGCTCACACACTTGTCTTGTGTAGGACTGCGCATTAGATGTATTTTTGCAAAAACATAAATCACAGGCTAGAGTTGATACACTGTTGAAAATACACAGTAGCTTTTTTTTTTGACCATTAAATTTTCTATTTACTAGCATTGGTGAAAAGAAGTAAGCGAAATGAGTGTCTTTGAAAATCCATGGGGAAACTCGTAAAGCAAAAAGGAACCATGCCGCATTACCTGAGACCGTCACACGCGCTGAGGCTGGCAGCAGAATCATACTCATGCACAATGGCTCCCTGGTAGAAACAGTGATCCTAAAATAGAAGATGCTGTTAGCACACGCATAAATATTTACCTGGATATTTGAGTTCAGAACGTATCAGCATTTCATCTTGACAAATTACATTTTATATTTGTTCATGGATTCATTCATTATACTCTTCCATTTGGAAATACTTGAGCCTGCTTCGGAGACCTTTTATTTTAATTGTATGATTACTTTTGATTGCTTTGTATAAAGCCATGTATAAAGTCTTCTCCCCCCTCCCCAAAATTTAATAGTCTATTAGGTGACGGCACTAATTTCAGAAATAGGACCTTTTCCTTAGAAATAATACTCCCATAATCCATCCTAAAATCTTTACTACACTGACCTGCCTATGATAATATTATATTTTACCCAGTTGTACATGAAATCAAGCCAAGTTCTTGATTGCTAAAATTAGGTTTCCCTGTTCCATCAGTTCCCCTTAATGCCTTTCTCTCCTCACTCTAAATTGGTATCTTTATTAATTCCTACTTAACTGCTTTTCCCAGTGTAATCCCAGTAGGTAATTATTTTTTCCCCATCATTTCTATCTGCTTCATTCCTGCCTTTGGGTGACCCTTTCCATGGCCCCTTAGGGAGCTCATAACATTTCAGGGCAATAACCACCCCCTGCGTAAAGGAATGCCACCCATTTTTCCTTCTGTCCCAGTTGCAAGATCACATGAAGGCTTGGCTCTTGTGGAAGTTAACATTTGCTTTTTAGAAATACACCTTTGCTAAGAAAGAGTGATGTTGCTCTTGGTTAGAAGGCTACAGAGGGCATTTTCTGGAAAGGGTACGAGGGTATAAAATAAACGAACAAAGATTTATTTGGAGAATGAATAAGAGACTTCGAAGTCAGTGCCTCAGAAGGACGAGGCAAGAGAATGTGAATCCCATAAGGATCAGGGTGATGGAGATTTTGAAGTTATTTCCTATCTTTAGATTTTATCGATTAAACGTGGACACAATCTCATCAGTGTGCCTTATGAGATCCTGCTTTAGCTTTTCCCCAAACTCAACACCATTTGAGTCTATAGAAGTCACTTAGTAAAGAAAGATACATCATTAGTCATCGGTTTGCTTGGTAGGCTGCGATTAGCTCCTTTAGGAATCATAGGGCCATATATTTATTCTAGGACCATTCAGGAAGAGTAGTAAAGGCAGGGTTCATTTCTGATGTAAGTAGTACTTTCTAGAGCAGCTTGTAAAGCTAGAATTGGGTTTCAAAATCACATCAGGAAATAACAGCTTTACAGAAGAGACGGAAGAAAGTTCCATAGGATACCATGATCTGAGGATGCCTGGTGAGTGCCTCTCCTCTTTGGGAGTAGTACGTTTCACTGTAATTTGAGCCTAAGAACTCCCTGAAAAAGAGGACAGAGAGGCAGTGAGAGTCATGCATTCTAAACATGTAGTAGACAAAACCAATCGTATGACAGACATGCCTTCAGGTGGCTTTCAAATCTCAGCAAAGTACTCTTCCTCTCAAAATAGAAAAGCAAAATCAAGCCCACTCATATCCTATCTACCTGAATTTTCTGGTTTCATAAAGACTGCAGAAAAGAAAAAAAATTCTGGCAACTTCAGCAAAGTAGCAATTTAAAAAGAACTCAGAGAAAATGTTAGGTGGGTAAAACTCTAAGAGCCCAAATTAACGCAAAATGAAGTGATATATGTAATGTATTAATGGATAGTAACCCCAAAGCTACATATTTTACTAAAAGCAACATGTATAGAGTATAATAAATTTCCCCTCATCCATGCGGTACTTGGAGTTGAGCCCAATCTCTATCAGCCACTGTAAGACCCCACCCCCTGTAGTGGTCCCAAGGCTATTGTGATGGTCCTGAATAAAGTCTGTCTTACTGGGCTTTAACAAGGGTCATTGAATCATTTTTTCTTTAATCATTTTTTCTTTTTTCTACTACTTCTGTGCACTTCTTAATCCAACTCTCAACATGATAAACTTCTAGGGGTGCTTCCAAACCCAGTCCAAAGCACACTTTCTGAGTCTATTAAGCAGATTTTGATGGTCCGTGCATTTTGTGCTTCTAGAGATCTTCATTTTCATGTTTACCACATTTTTTTTTTGGAGACAGAGCCTCAAGCTGTCACCCTGGGTAGGGTGCTGTGGCATCATAGCTCACAGCAACCTCCAACTCCTGGGCTTAAGGGATTCTCTTGCTTCAGCCTTCCAAGTAGCTAGGACTACAGGTGCCTGCCACAACGCCCGGCTACTTTTTGGTTGTAGTTGTCATTGTTGTTTGGCAGGTCCAGGCTGGATTTGAACCCGCCAGCTCTGGTGTATGTGGCTGGGGCCTTAAGCCACTTGAGCTACAGACACCAAGCCATGTTTACCACATCTGTATCAGGTATTACACGGTCAGCAAGCCTCTTCTATAAAGACCAAACTACCAAACATTTTAAGCTATCTGGGCCACATATGTTTCTGTTACATGTTTTTGTTTTGGTTTGGTTTTTTGTTTGTTTTCACTCCAAATATTCAAACTTTAAAAAATTATCCTTTACATTGATATATTTTATCTCACAGCACACTTTATAGTCAAACTTCCACAGCATACTTATATTAGGTTGATCCGAAAAAAAAAAAAAAAAGAGTAGGGCAGTGCCTGTGGCTCAAAGGAGTAGGGCACTGGCCCAATATGCCAGAGGTGGTAGGTTCAAACCCAGCCCCGGCCAAAAAACTGCAAAAAAAAAGTAAAAAAAGAATATACCTACTGTGTTTTGAATTTCTTTCAAAAATAACTTAATTAAGGACCTTGAAAATTTTCCCGGCACCCCTAAGATCTTCTTAGGGCACACCGGTGTGCTATAGCACACTAGTTGAAAGTCCCTGGTATACATAATAGAGAACGTGTCCAAATTTGGCCCATTTGCTCCCCTCTGATATGTCAATCATCAAGGTTCCCTGGGAACCACTTGTAAAAAGGGACATTTCCCCCCTTTTATTTGTGTCTCTCTGCTTCCTAAGACAGGACGAGCATATTGGCAATATGCAATAAATAAAGGCTGAACTAATATTCAAAATGAACTAACTACATAATTTCACTCCTACTATGGCTGATTAAACTATCATCAGACTGACATACCGTCTATAAATTTAGTTCTGAACAACACACACACACACAAACAACTACCTGGGGAATCTGATAACCGAGACAAGGCTGACCGACCCTGGAAGGATGCCAACACGTGCAAGAAGACCCAGCATGAGGGGACTTTACCATTTTTACAGCGTTTATTCTGGGTAAAATGGAAATTAGACAAATTCTGCATCATTTGGATTTTGCAGGAATTAAGAAATGACTTTGAGGAAAGGCACATAGAGGGTGCTCAAAAATGGTACCTTCCTTCACACTGAGAATGTCAAAATATGTAAGAGTCTAAATATACTATCGATATGCCTATGGCATTAGGTTTATTATATTTCTGCACATTTTTCCAGGGAGGAATTCAAAGTAGAGGGTGGATCTTTTTTTTAAAGATCATTCTTATGTTTTTAGCTAATAGACCAGAGTCCCAATTCTTCAAAATCATTTACCCTTCCATGTAACTTGGCATTGGAGAGCTCTTCAGGCTCTTATTGGGGCTCTGAGACAGAATTGTTATTTGTAGAAATGACCCAAAAGAAAATTATGAAACTAAAACATCAGCAATAAAGACTTCTTTGAAGAGGGCTACTAAAGAAAGCTACGGTCATTAGAATTACAGTATTTAGCTACACAAAATGTCCTGGTGAAGCAAATACTTCACAGTACCTAGCTTACTCTCCAATAAACTTGGTTTGATATCTATTTTAAATAACTTATAAGTGTCTTTAAATACTACATTCTTCAAATTTCTTTTTTTCCCATTGATTCCAAAAGCAGCCATGTATTAACCCTTTTCTTAAAATGACTAGACAGAGCTCTAAGAACTCCAAGTACCCCAAATACAGAGTAATCAGGAATTGAGGACAGCATCTAGAATTGTCTTTAAACTGTGGCGGTGTCATGAAGAAGAGGAATTCAAGTGAATGATAGATAATGTCTCGAGGATTTCATTTCACCAGCAGCTTTTACAAAAACTGGGCCACCAAGGACTAGTAAATTTGCAAGGTACTGAACTTACCTTGACCTTAGAAGGTGAAGTATTAAGGTTTTTTTATTTAGTCTTATTTCATACAAGAGTTCTTCTTCATATGTTTCCTGAAAGACAAGATCCGTCATGTGACTGAAACACGTGATGATTCTCTGAGCTCTGGGACCACAGCGCCATGGAGCCTCCCTGCCCCCCTCAATTCACTCTGCAGACCTTTCAGGCAAAATGATACTGATAAAGCAGAATGGGGAGGGAGTTAACATTATAAGGAGGATTTTACTCAAGTTATTTTTTAATGAAAACATTTTAGCAGGATTGTTTTTCTAGTTATAAAATAAAATAAAGTGTGAAATGCACACTCTCCCTTTTCTATCCATGGACCATTAAGTGCCCGTCCACCCAGCGGCCCCTCCCCTTCTGTTTATGCCTTTTTCCAAAATTTCATATATATGATTGTACAGTCTACTTTTTCACTCAACAATAAATCATAATAATTTCTTAATCTAATACATGTTCTTTTATAACATGTGCCCTATGGCCACAAAGCACATTGCGAATGAAATAATATCTACAGAGGGTGCTAAAAAAAAAAATGCACGTTTTAAGAGAGGGAAAAACTGCATTAAAATTGTAATGTTCAATATGTACTGATAACAAAAGATGAATACAAGCCATGGTTGAAAAGCATTTCTTGTAACTGCAAAAGTCAAATGTGACTTAAGTAGTAAATTTTTTTTTTTTTTTTTTTTGCAGTTTTTGGCAGGGGCTGGGTTTGAACCCACCACCTCTGGCATATGGGGCCAGCGCCCTACTCCTTTGAGCCATAGGCACTGCCCTTAAGTAGTACAATTTTAATACAGTTTTTCCTTTCTTAAAATATACTCTTTTTCACACCCTCTGCATATTTATTATCAAAACTTTGGTTTTGGTGTATTCTCTGCAGTTAAACAGAATTGTACTGTTAATGACATGGAAAAAATAGAAGACTTTTGAGAAATATTGTCCAAATATCCTGAAGGAAGGAAGGATGAATTTAGAACTTCAACATCAACTTACAGCAGTTTCTGTTTTCCGGCCTTCTTGCCAGTAATAGATACTATCATTAGTAAACGTCTTTCAGACAACGGAATGATAGCTTAGTGTGATTAATTGTTTTCTTGGATAACCATTGGCATTTATAGTTTTCCTTCTTTTATTTAGCTATTTGTAGTTTTCAGGTAAATTTCTGGTCCATGTGCTTTCAGCATTTTCTTTTGAGGTATTTTATTTCTTTATGACTCCTAAGACTCTTTTTTACTTAAAGTTCACCACTGTTGGTGATACACAGCGCACATTTCGTTGAGTTTATTATTCATTCATTATTCAATAGCTGCTGTTTCAGGCACAGTGATAACAGGAAAAATACAATGTGCTACGAGTTGGAGGTCCCAGGTTAGCAAAGAAGAGAAAAGGGAAAACCAAACACACGTAATTGAGTGTGATAAGCCATGAACTTGGAGAAAAGCCAGGACTATTCCAGAGACATTAAAAGGAAGAAAATAGTTTAAATGGTATATAAAACCAGCACATTGTACCCCATGATTGCACGAATGTACACGGCTATGATTTAATAAAAATAAATAAATAAATAATAAGGAAGAGTCAGGGGCAAGAAACAGCACGTGCCAAGGCCCTGAGGTAGAAAGGAGCTTAACATGTTTAAGGAAAGGAGAGAAGTTCGGGGCTGTTGGAAGTGTACACTGAATAGAAATGAGATTGAGGCGTGGCGCCCGTAGTACAGTGGTTACAACGTCAGCCACATACACCGAGGCTGGCGGGTTCGAACCCAGCCTGGGCCAGCTAAACAACAATGACAACTACAACAACAACAGACACACACACAAAAAAAAAAAAAAGAAAGAAAGAAAGAAAAAAAATGAGATTAAAAGGTGGGATGGAACTAAATCAGGCACAGCCTAGTAAGTCAAAGATTTGGACCTTATCCTGAGAGCAAAGAGACGCAGAGCCTCGGCAGAAACATGCAGAGAGAAGCGTGGTATTTTAGAAAGCTTTGTTAGTATTGACCAGGGATCAGCAAAGTCAGTACAGGAGAAGGAGAAATCGCCTGAAGGCTACTGATGAATCCAGGGGGAGCGGGAGGAAGAATCTGTAAGGTTTAGTGATTGTTTGATGGGAAAGGAAAGTGAGAGGATATAAGAAAGAGCCCAGGGTTCTGGTGTGTTTAACTTGTGTACAACTCGAGCCCCTGTCAGGTAGGTCAAGTAAAAGCAGGTCTGAGACGGGGAGAGAGAGGTCATGTATGGAAGAACGGGAAGTATGCATAAGTTACGGTAGTCCTGACCTCAAGTTTAACAAAACAAATTAGGACTTTATTATAAAGACACAGAATTCAACAGGTGTGTGGGCAAGAAACTAGGTTTCAATCAAATGAGAAGGGTGGGGTCATATGAGTTCTACGTAGAGGGGCGTGTGAGTGTGTAACAGGATGACAACAGCGCTGATTTTTGAAATTTCCATTTCTGAAATTTGCGTTTTTGAATATGGGTTTTATACTCCTACGAAGAAATGATTGTGAATATTATCAGGTGTGATATTTTTAATCTCGTTGCTAATATTGCTTTTTAATAGCCAGAATTTTATCTTTAATTTTACTTCTATTCTAGAATCCTTTCAGATTTATGGAAAAGTTGGAAAGAGCATACACAGAGTTCCCATATACTCTGCACCCAGATGGCCTTGTTGTTACTATCTTGTGTTATTCCAGTGTGGTTGTCATAACAAATGAACCAAGATTGATGTGTTCTAATTAAAATTTATATGTGTTCCTATTTCCCTAGTTTTTCCCCCAATATCCCTTTACTCTTGCAGTATCCCTTCCAGAAACCATATTACATTTCATTATTATGTCTTATCAAGACTGTGACAATTTCTCAGATTTCCCTTAGTATTGATTATCTTGATATTTTTGAGGAGTCCTCGTCAGATTTTTTTGTAACTTATCTCTCAATTTTTTTTTCATGTTTTTTGCATTGTTAGGCTTAAGTTATGAATTTTGGGGTAAAAACCACAAAAGAGAGCGTCGTTTTGTTACATCACATGATGAGTGTGTGCTGCCAACGTGACTTCCTACTGACTGTACTGAGCCTGGACGCCTAACTGAGCAGTATTTCCATGTTGGTCCTTGTAAAGTTACTGTCCCCCCACCCCCCACTTCAATGCTCTGCTCTTGGGAATGAAGTCACACAGCCCACATTACAGGGCAAGGACTTAACACTCCACCTCCTGGAGAGGGAGGTAGCTACAGAAATTCTTTGATCCTTTTCTATGGGACATTTGTCTATTCCCTCCCACTTATTAATTTGTTCACTTATATGAGTGTGGATTCATGGCTATTTATTTGTGCTTCAGGTTCTAATCTAAAACTGTACTACTTGTTTTGTTGTTCCAATTGTCCCAGCTTTGACCATTGGGAGGTCTTTAACCAGGCTCCTGAATTCACCTGCCAGGCCCCATCAATGTGTTTGTTGGGATGTTTTCTGGCACTAAAAGACACCCCAGTCTTCATGTGTATATTTCCTGCCCCCATCCAGGCTCAGTTTGCATATTCATAAGGGGACTCTTAACATCAGTCTGGATTACGTCCTCTTGCCAGGAGAGCCCACCAAGTGGGGGGAAGGAAGCCCCTTCTAGCTGAGTACATGCCTCCAACCAATGCAAAGATTTGAGAAGGTGAGGAAAGAGTTGGAGACCAAGAAAAAACTGTCAAGAGGGTTATTGAAGAAAAGTGGTTAGATATTACTTCCAAATGCGAGGGGGTGGAGAGTTGGGTTTTTATCATCACAAGCAGTGGGAAAGAGCTCTCACGTGGGAAGCTCAAATGAATCTCACTCATGACGGAGAAGCACACCAGGTGAGAATCTGGAAAGTGGGCTGCTCTAATGGTGAAAGGAAGGACAGTTGTCACATGGGAAAGATTTGCACTGCCATAGGGGTTAGGGCAAAGTGACTGTCTGTATTCTCCATGAGTCAAATTAATAAAAACATAAGGCTTAAAATGCAAGTGTCTACTGCCATAAATATCTAAAGGCATTCATCAAAATCCTTTGATAAAAGTAGGAATTAAAAATTAATTATGAGGCTTCTTCCTTTTTATATATATCTGTCCTCCATGTAAAACTTCTATTACTTTTGAAAATAACGTTTCGGATATTTTTAGATTTAACACCTGAATAAACACTCTTTTAAGCAACGACTCAAGTGGGCCTTTTTGTTCCTTGAAAGTTGTCCAATCTTGCCAGAGAATCTGTCAAGCCAATGAGATTGTTTTAAGTTCGGCCTGGAAAACTGTCAGTGGAACTCCTTTGTAAACTGGAAAACTGTGAATGGCATCCTTCAAATCTGGACTTTATTCCTTTTTGCTTTCTAATTCATTGAGAGGTGTCTGACTTCTAAGCCCGTGGGTGGGAGTCCTCAAAGAAAATGGGAGTCCTCTCTCCCAGAGACAGAGAAGAGCTCTGGCTGGGGCCAGAGACCGCTCTCTGTGCGCCCCTGAAGCAATTAATCTTATTTACTAAATCAAAACCTGTACCGGTAGCTCATCAGTATGCATGTGTCCGACATCTCGCTTCTGTATCCGCGGAAGCCTTTTAGGACGAACCACTTCTTGACCCTGTATTCCAGGGACTACCTTTTCTACATGGAGACACAAGGAGAAAAATCCATCTGACATTAATACTCATTCACTGAGACTGAAAAACAGAACTGCTCTCATAGGATTCACTAGTCCCCAATTAGCAGCCATGTACAGCAACCCCGTGAAACAGTCCCGCTCTATAGACAAAGAAACTGAGACTGACGTTTGAAAATTAGAAAAATATGAGCAAAAGTGGAAAGGAGACAAAGAGATTAGTGCTCCTCAGCATGACCCACATTTTCACCGTGTTCTGCAGTCATTAAATTTATCTTCTCATCCTATGACTGTCTCTGGATCTGCCTCCTTGCAAAGCCTAAAATGAAATGGGCTGTTTCTATGTAAATGACTGCACTGGGTCTTCCAGGGACATCTCCATTTGTAGTCTCACCTCCCATAATTAAGTAAAAGGCTTTTACTTGTCAGAGAGTTTCGGGTGGCCTGGAATTAGTGCTCAACACAATCTATTCATGTCCTATGATGCTGGCAGGCATCTGTGAGAGAACCCTGCTTCATTAGGGTGTGGGCTTCATGAAGAGGGCATGAGTGTTTTGGAATATGCTCTGATTTGAATCAAGGTTTTCCCAGTTTATTTGCTGTGTGGCCATGAGTAGTGTATCTAATCTCTCTGATCTATAAATAGTAGTCTCATTTTCCTTATCCATAAAGTGAAGATATTAGCATTCAATTTTAAGCATTCTAACATGCAACGTGGCTAATGACCAGCACAGGCTTGCTATGTTGTAAGCATTCAGACATGGGTCCCCTGCTTCCTCTGCCTTGCTGTGGACCAAAGTGTTTAAGAGTGATATGGCATTCCCTAGACTCATAGAGGGCCGCGGTTAGCCGTCACCTAGTCAAAGCGTTTGGCCATGTCTGGAGAAAAATCCCCAATAACTCCTGTTCATGCCATGTCACTTTAAGAGGGATGTTCTTGTTTTTGTCACTTAGAACTTAAAGATGGTGATTAAAGAGACATGACTAGCAGAATACAAAAGCCATAATAACAAGAGCAAGACGTACCTTTAATCTGAAAAATGAGTAAGATCATTGAAAATATCCATCCGGAAAGCATGCTGAAGGATTCCGGTAAAAGAGGACACGGCCTTTGAGAAAAGATGTTCACCTTTCTTCCTCCTTTCCTCCACTGCAAGGATGAGGCATCCAACAGACAGGCAGGCAGAGTTCACCCAGCACAAGGAAATGTTCTCCGACAAAGTTATACAACTTGTTAGGTGCTTGAGGCTACAATCTGGAGGGAGGACTGTGTGTACTAATTAAGGACAACCACTAAGGTAGTGGTGGCAGAGGTGGGCTGAGCACAAATTCCACTTCAAGTTGAATATGAATGTGATCCCAGATATATTCAAACTTCAAAAGTGAAAACTGGCAGGGGTGTCTTAGGAAAACTTATGGAAGGATGCTTATATACACTTGCATTGAGGAGAATGAAATTCTTGCCAGGCAGAATAATACCCCACGTAAAAACTGTGAAGCTATGTTCAATAAAATAAACAAAATAGAAGTGTTGAAAATGGACATACATCATAAATCACATATTGGTTAAAATTAAAAGATAAGCTCAGCAGCCGTAGCTCAGGGAGGAGGGCAGCAGCCACATACAACGAGGCTGGTGGGTTTGAGCCCGGCCTGGGCCTGCTAAACAACAAGGACAACTGCAACCAAAAAAATAGTGGGGTGTTGTAGCAGGCGCCTATAGTCCCAGCTACTCAGGAGGCTGAGGCAAGAGAATCGCTTGAGCCCAAGAGTTAGAGGTTGCTGTGAGCTGTGACGCCACAGCACTCTATAAAGGGCCATGTAGTGAGATTCTGTCTCAAAAAAAAAATTAAAAGATTAAACCTAACCTCCAGAAATATATGCAACATATATAATAAAGGGTGAGAGTAAGTATCCTCATAATGTGACACTCTTTCACATCTATACTAAAGAGAAAATGCTAACAGACACAAGTGCCAAAGACCTGGACAAACCTATCTGTGTGTCTGTGTCCCCTTACATTAGAAGACATATCTCACTGCTGATATAATCCCTTAAACTGCATTTGGGAACCTATGCCCTCTCCTATCTCACAGTATCACTCTAATATCCACATAAAATGAACTAATCTCTGTCAACTGAAAGCTTCCTTTTGATATGGAAACAATCTCAAATATTCCCCCTTTTGAAAAATCCTGCCGCCATTTTATATCCCATATGCTTCTATTCTCACCTCCTTTCCATTCCCTTTTCACTTAAATTTCAAGGTTTGCCTGAACTTCGCGTGGCAGTTTTCTTACCTCCAACTTCCCTAATGTACCCCAGTTCTACCATCTGCCTTGAAATACCCAAGGAATTACCTCCAACACTTTCTCCATTTCTACAACCAATGGACGTTTCCATTGCTCATTTACTGGTCCTCTTAACATTTGGCACCATTGACTACATCCTGTCCCTTGAAACATTCTATTTAGCTCCCTGACACAACCATCTTCTCACTGTCTTCCTAGCTCCCTGGCGACTTGGGGGACACCCAGCCTTTAAATTTTGGTTGGTGTCGAGGGATTTATCCTATAGCCTCATCTCCTTTAATTATGCTTGTTCCAGACCCATCGTATCCTCAGCTGTGGTTTAATTATCGCTATCCTACGCCTTGCATTTTATATTTCCAGCCATCTTTACAACCTACCTTTACAGTTAACTTTCCACTCAATGTCTTCATTGGAAGAGCTCAATGCCCCTGTAAAATCAATACATACAAGATGTAAGGTGCTCCCCCCACCTTAGATGATGATGCCAGCATCCATTCAGCATTGCAAATCTGAAAGCCAGTGTCATCACTGGCATCATTCAGAAACAATCTATCAGTAAGTATTCTTTATTTTATTTCCAAGAAGTATCCTGTCCACGTCTCACCAGCTTTCTGCCTCCATCCTATTGCACCTGACTATAGGCACTTTCTGGCTACCCTCAAAAAAGTGTGATCTTTTCAACATGCAAGCCTGATTATGTCATGTGCCTGTTAAAAATGGTTCAGTAGTTTTTTACTGGTGTTAGGATAAAGACTCACTTGGTTGTAAAGCTCTCAAAGGTAATTTCCTTGCCCCTTACTAACCCTGTGGCTTTGGGTTAACTATGAAATATTGCTACACTTCTGTTTTCTCATCTATAAAATGGGTATACTGATATCTATAGCCCAGGGATGGTGTATTAAATGAATGTGTGCTGACAAGCAATCTTATATATAACCCATCGCATTCACTCAGCAACTCTCTTGAGTATTTACACTATTTCTTCTCTCCTCAAGTCTGTAAGTCTCTTCTTTACACTCATCTGATCACCTGCTTCTAGTTCATAGAGAAAAAAAACAACAGAAAAACTCTATCTCCTCATATCACATCTACGTTATCACCCACCACTAACACTGGATACTACCCCCTCATGTTCCCTCAACATCGTCATGCCAGGAATTGTTCCCTATCTCCAGGGTATCATCTCAATTAAGATATATCCAAACAAGAAAATGCCATGAAGGCTGTTAACCAGTTTGATGAAAATATTTCAAATTGTATATAAATCCAGCACATTGTACTCCATGACTGCATTAATGTACAGAAAAATGATTTAAGAAAACAAAACAAAACAAATATATCTAAACAAGTGACCATTTCTTCTACCCTTTAAAAAAATATTTCTTCCTTTACACCAATCTCCCTCTATCCAGCTGGTATTCATTTTTTGGATTTTTTGGCAGTAAAAACTTCTCCAAAAATGAGTCTACAATTTATCTCCTGTTCCTCTTTCACCATTTTCCCCAATTACTTCAGTCAGACTTTTTATCCTTTGCTTAATAAACCAATTCTTGCCAATGTTACCCAATGATCTGCACCTTACTATATTTGGTGGTTGATTCTCAGTTCTCACTCAACTGGCCTTTTAGCAACACTTGACAGGGGCAATCATTTCCATCTTGGAAGAAAGGCTTCATTCGTGGTACCCCAGGTGTCTCTTCTGTGCTTTTCACTCTTTCTTCTTAGTCTCAGTTGTTTGATCTTCTTCTACCTGGTGTCCAAATGGTTCAGATTCCAGGGCTCAATTCTTGAAACTTTCCACCCTGTACTAATGAACTGGTCTTCATCCAATGTTTTGGTTTTAAATTAGAAATGATGGCCACCAAATTCATTTATCAAACCTGATCTCTAAATTTCAGATTCATAGAAGCAGCAATATTTTCAGCATCCTCCCTTGAATGCCAACTAAATATCTCAGATACTGACACAAAGCTACATTCCTGATCTTCCCCTCCAAACATAGCATTTCCACAGTCATTCCTGTCTTGGGATATTGCAACTCCATCCTTTCAGCTACTCAAGCGTCATCCTTGGTTCCTCTCTTTCTCCTATAATTTATCTCCTCTTTATTAGCAAATTCAGTGGGGTCCATTGTGAAAAGATGCCAAGGATCTGACCCTTTGCTGCAGTTGTGGTAATCCAAGACACCATCATCTGTGGTCTATGTTCCTAAACTGGTCTCTTAATTGACCTTACTGTTCTTCTCTTGGTCCTTCACAGTGTATTATACACATATCACCCACAATGATCTTATGGACATACATCACACTATGTGATTCTTCTGTCCAAATTTAGTCAATGACTTTTCATCAGAGTATTAGCCAAAGTCCTATGATGCCTCCATGATCTGCACGATGTAGCCTGATATTCTCTGGGTTCATCTTCTTTCTTCTCTTCTCCTCACCACCTCTGAGCCCATCACCATATGATACTGGTGTTCACTGAGCATGCTAAGCATATTCTGCTTCAAAGGTATTTCTTTGCTTGCTATCCCTTCTACCTAAAATGTAATCCTCTCACACAGTCACACGTCTCACCTCCTCCTTCCCTTCATGGATCTACTCAAATGTCATGTCAGGCAGGTCTTCTCCAGTCACCCTATGCAGAATAGAACTGCCCAATTTTACCCTGGCACTGCTAAGTCCTTTGTTGCTCTGCCTTGGTCACCATCTGAAATGCTGCACATTTACTCATTTATTTTTAATTGTCTGAATCTCCTTCTTAAAGTGTAATAACCTTTGTGAGAACAAACATTTTTTCTGTTTTATGTGTATCACTCTATCTTCAGTGCCTTGACTAGAATTGTAGATCGGCAATAGGTTTTCCTTGAATGAATGCATTAACACATTATCAAACCTGGAAAGGTACCTGGTGTGTAGTCAGCACTTAAGAAAAGCAAACTATGGTTATTTGAGCTTTTAATTATGAGGAGGTTAGAGAGCAGTAAATAAAAGTACACATTCAGGACTGGATCGGCTGGGTTGAATTCCCAGCTTTTCGCTTCCTACCTAGAGCCCTGTAGACCTAGGATGATATTTTGATTTCTCTGTGCTTCAGTGTTTTGATCTCCCAAAAAAGAAGATAACAACAATATCTATTTTTGTAGCAGCTGTTGCAAAGATTAAATGCAGTAATTAATGTAAATTACTTAAAGGCAATGCCTCCAGCCTATCAAAAGCTAGGTAAGTGATTATTTTTTAAAGAGCTTTCCAAAATGTCGATTTGGGGTTACCTTTCCTTCCCCAGATTCATCTGCAACTGTTATTTTTTTCTCTGAGCTGCAGGCGCTCAGGCTTTCTCTCTTTACTGCAATACACAATGCTTTCTCCCATGAAAGGGCCTCTAGACGTCTATGTGTCTTTACCTGTCCTCTTTCCCTTTCCTTCTTGGGGCCAAATTAATTCCTAATTTTTCAGTTCTCAGTTTAAAGGTATCTGTCTCAAGAAAACCTTCCTTAAACCCCAAGTTGAGGCCACTTTTCTTCATAAAATGTGATTCTTTTTCATCTGAAAACATACGTTGGTGTATTATACCCTTATAAGCTGAAATATCTGAGTATCTGTCTCCTCCAGATATCCATAAGCTCCAGAAAACAAAGCGTGCACTTGCTTTTGTTTACCCTGTACCCCAAACTTAGCAGGGTCATACATATACACACGATAGTCTATGTAAATTTGTTGAGTAAACTACTTTCAACAAAGTTCAACTACTATGCAACATAATCATT